AAACCTCTGGTATATTTACATCACACACATAATTTCAATAACTGAATGCAAACATCGCAACAATACGGGAGATGTGTTTTTTGCTTTGCTTTTAGATTTATTAACTTATTTCTTAATTTTTACTGGATTTAAGTAAAGTACTTGAGTCTGTTTCCATAATATAAAAAAGTGTGTGCCATATCAAAAAAATTAAAGTTAAAAAATAAGAAACAATACAGGAGAAAGCATTCTTTACTGACATAACAGAGGTGATAGTTGTGCAACAGCTGTGTGTGCGTGTGTGTGTGTGTGTGTGTGTGTCTGTGTGTGTAACTAACCATCAGCCACAGTGTTGGCTGGTAGTCGACCCACTAATGTTCGGTCCACATACACTTGTTCGAGCTGAGGTCCATTTAGGTTCAGGGTCACCAGGACTCCACTGCTCAGCAACACCTGCAACACACACACACACACACACACACACACACACACACACACAGTCAGTGACAGTTTGTAGCTTCATGTCACCGGCTTCCATTGAGAATGACTTGCAGCCTGTTGACTTGTGGCTCGTAGTGTGAACGCAGCATCACGCTGAGTGTAAAGGCACATTAAAGACATTATATCAGAGTTAAAGATCCCCAGTCAGACAAGATGTTTTCTGTGAGTAAAATGTGGTCATAAGTATCTCCTAATACTGTCGTGATGATTTTCCATGATGTCATTTTGCTATTTTGGTTTCTGTTCACACAACTTCGTCCGTCCTGGAAGAGGAATCCCTCCTCTGTTGCTCCTCCTGAGGTTTTTATTGCATCCTTGTAGCCAATAAAAGGTTTATTTTATCCTTAGTGTCTAAGCAGAGATGACGTCATATGCGCTACAGATTATAGAGCCCCTTTTATCCAAAACGTTATTATGTGTTCAGCACACGGTTGCATCAATGCTCATTTACATTTACACACAAAAAATAAATCACAAAACCACATTCATTTGCATTCACACAAATAAAATGAATATAAAAGATACTGAATAGCATTTGAGAACAATATCTAAATCTTAAAAATAAGGGAAATAAATAATTACATTAAAATATGATGGATTATAAAGCCCCTCGAGGTAAATGTGTGATATTAGCCAATATAAATAAATGAATAAAAGAGTGTCACATCATAATTATGACGACATTGTTTAGCTTGAAATGAACTGCTAACAGCATCTCAGCCCAGTGGAGCTCTTCATCTGAGGCCTGGTCTGGGCGGACCATGGGAGGTTCTGCCTCTATCTGAAGCTGAAAAGAGGTGTGTGTGTGTGTGTGTGTGTGTGTGTGTGGTGGGCTGAGGAGGGCGTGTACCTGGCAGCAATGCTTGCTCCTCCATCTGCTGTGAACGCATGTGTTGGTCTGCAACAGTTCCTGAAGGAGCGTGACGGATAAAGAGTGAAAAACAGAACAAACAGGTGAACTAGAGTCCAGACACTTTAATACAACACAGACCAGTTCCTGTGAGGAACTTTTAACTGGTTGTGAACCAGTCTCAGTTTAGTCCTGATCCTCTATCAGACCTCCATCAGTAAAGAGACCATCAGAGAGAAGATGTTATTAAGAGTTACTCTTAATCCATCGTGGACAGACCCAGATCCTCCAGCAGAGACCGGTCCATCGTGGACAGACCCAGATCCTTCTGGAGGGAACTGAGGCACGGGAGAACCAGAACCAGGACTGAGAGGGGCAGACTGTCAGACCCTGCTGCAGTAAAATAAGAGGTTTTCTAAAGGGAGTCTGGTGCTCAGAGACACTACCACTTTAGTCCACAGGGACGACAAAATCAACACAAAATGAAAGCTTCTTGTAGTGACTTTAATTTTCCGTCTTTTTGTAAAGCGTTGCATTCACTATCTTGGAGGCACACAGCACCGGACACTCGTCACCACAGGTGACCACTGCAGCAGGTCCTGCTCACGGAGGGGGGAGTTAAACGGGGATGCAGGTAAGGACTGCTTGTGAGTGTGTGTGCATGTGTGTGTGTGTGTGCATGTGTGTGTGTGTAAGGTCAGTCATTCCTGCCACATTCCAAACCCAGCTGGGGTGATTGGATGGGAGGAGAGAGGGACGCAGGAGGAGGTGTGGAGGTGAGCCGGGGTGTTTCTAGTTTCAGACAATGGTTACGGGTGAGAGGAGGGAGGTGGATGGGAGGGGAGTGTGTGTGCGTGTGTGTGTGTGTGTGTGTAACAGCCACAGACAGGTTCCTGCAAACAAAGCTAGGTCTGTACTGCCACAAGTACAGAGGGGATGAGGGAGGGAGGGAGGGAGGGAGAGGCGGATGAATGAGGGGAGAGGAAGGGGAGGCAGCCTGCAGCCCCCTGATCCCCTCAAATATCCCCCTCGATGACAGAGCTCGGCCGAAAGAGAGGTGATGAGAGAGGAGAGGGAGAGGGGAGAACAAACGGGAACGACAGGGAGAGTGACGGGAGCGGGAGAAAGGAGAGAGAATGCCCCTATTTGTTAATCAATCGGCCGTTTCGGAAAGGGAAAACTGAAAATCCCCAGAGGGAGGAAGAAGCCTTGGGGGGGGGGGTGTTTGACAGAGGAGGCGGGTACCTCCAACTCCTTCAGCGAATCACGGAGCTTCTCCGGTCGGCGGTTCCTGGGGGTCCAGGAATAGCCTCGAGCTACGGAGGGAAAACACAAGAAGAATCTATAAAGATCATGTGACTTGAACTTTTAAACACAGACTAAAGAGAAATATATATATATTGTTTTCTTAAAAAGACCCTCATGGGGATTCAGAAGAATGTGGCAACAAAGACCAGAGAGGGTAAAAGGGTTGAACTTAATATCTGAGGAATAAAAGGTGCTGACAAGACGCTCAGGTGGAATAAAGAGATGCAGGTACATGACGCAGGCGTCCCACAATGCATTGCTGAATCTAGATGCATGCAGAGTAACGGTTCATCAACAGAAACGTTTCATAACTTCTATGATAATTCATAGTTTTTAATCAAGCAAAAAAGGCCGAAACATTTGTTGGTTGCAGCTTCTCAAATGTGAAGATTCGCTGGTTTTCCCCGTTTTCATATTGATGTAACTTACTTTCTGTTTTCGGATTGTTTATCAGACAAAACAAGCAACTTGAAGACGTCACCTTGAGCACTGGAAATATGCAATTGATGTTTTTAACTTGTAAAATGTATAGACTTAATTGAAGATACAATATTTCACTGTTACATTGGAACCCATTCATTCCTCAGGACGATCTAAAAGTGTCTTTTTATATATTAAATGTTTATTTTTCATAAGCACAAGAATAAAGCATGAAAAACACACAAAAACTGAACAAGAAAACACACAAAGTGATTCAATAAAGTGACCATGAAACTCATTGAAAAGCATCAGATCATTCATGAGTGACTTCAACTTGAGTTACTCACACGTGTTGAATTCTTGAAGAAAACTTTGTTTTTCTTGCAGGTCTCAACGGTGAACAGAGAATCAAAAACGGAAAAAAAAGTCTTGATGACGAACACAAACACGTGCATCTTCACTTAAACATGAATATTTAAAACACTTCTGCATAAAAAGTCTTGTTCTACTTGTCAGCGTGAGTCCGAAGTGTGTTTGTGAAGATGTGAACGATACGACTCATCAACGAGACTTAAATTAAACTCCACGAGTTGTGTGAGAGTTTGTAAACTGATGCTTTCATATAAGTTTTGCTGTTTTTAAATGTCACATTTACTTCAATTCATCAAGACTTTTCTCTGTTTTTGTATTTTCTGTTCACCGTGGAGAGTTCGAGGTAACACGAGGAGAGTAACCGTTAAAGAAATGATGATTTTGTGGGTGAAGTATTCCTTTAAGGTTCCCTATAGATAGTTACTGAGACACAAACCCAGAGAGAAACCTGATTATTTAAGATATTTAAGAATGAATTTATTAAATTAAATTAACAAAACATGTACTTTTATGTTGGAATCCTCGTGTAGAACTATACAGAAACTACATTGATAAAGTTATAAGTTTTATATTTCAGACCACCTTATCCCCAAAGCAGCAAAAGTCTGAAATCTGCTGCTTACAGATTGATTTAGCTCCACTAAAGAAAAAAATATTCTACTGAAAGCAGAAACGTCCCTTCAAAACACACACACACACACACACACACACACGCACACACACGCACACACGCACACACACACAGGTCCTCGAGGAGAAGCGAATATTTTAATCGAGAGGACTTTTGGCGCTCTTGAGTTGAGTTATCTCCCAAATGCAACCTCACAGTCAGCAGGCACGTATCTCAACGCGTTACCACGCCGAGGCCCTCTCCTCGTTTTAATTCCCCCCCCCCTCCATCTCTAGTGGTTAAACACAGGGAAGGGAAGGATGTGAAGGAGAAACAGCTAATTGAATTTGTGCATCTGCTTCTGCCCACGCAACATACATGAAGTTCAGTGGGAGAAAAAAAAAAGGAAGGAAAGGAAGTCCCCTGTGTGTTTATTTTACAGTCCTTTTCATCTTAACTGAAACGAACCATTAAGGAGTGGGATTCTCTATTAAGAACGAGTGGGAAGAGGAGGTAAACAGATGCATGCAAATGAGGGGGGGGGGGGGGGTCGTGGGAGAGAGGAGGGAGGAGGGAGGGCAGGGGGATGAGTGTTCGTCTCCTGATAAGGGTGTTTGTATTCCACTACTGGGTGAAAAGCAAAGAGAGAAAGAGAGAGAGAAACGAAGGACGTGGGACAGTCGACTGTGGTTTCTAAGAAGATGGTCATCCACTGGTAAAGAGCCC